AAAAAAAAAAAAAAAGGCAAAAGCTTCCTATGAGAAAGTCCCTTTGGTTTTTGCATTTGTCCTGACTGGAATATAGATGTGATGGCAGGAGATATAGCAGCCATCTTGCAACCTTGAGAATGAAAACCACATGCTAAGGATAGCAAAACAGAAAACCTGAAAAAGGCTTAGCCCATGATGACATTTCTGACCGGCTATACAAGCCCAACACTGCTTGCTTATGGACTTCTTGTGATGTGAGAGAAATAAAACCCTAACTAGCAAGCCAATTTTCTATTATTTGCAGCAGAATAATGATTCCTAAATGATAGAGCACATGCACAGACTTTGACCAATAAGAGATCTTCTGGGAAAGGTTTCCTTGCTCCTAAAAAAGGCACAAGAAAGATAACCCCTTTTTGCTCAAGGATAACAATGTCTAGGCTGCTGTTACCTAGAAAGAGTGACCACCATCCTAGGGCCACAGGTGAGGTATCTGTAGAGGACAACGCCACATAGTGGAGATGAGCTGGAAAGACATAAGTTCCTTGATGCTGAGTTGAGTCAACTGACTATTTCAGGCCTGGAACTTCCCTATCTTGGGTTTTCTTGTTATGTGAGATGACAAACTTCCTAATTGTTTAAGCCAGTTTGAGTCAAAGCTTTCTGTGATGTGTCCCAAGGATATCCTAACTTAACTCCATGAACCTTCCCTGCTAGGACTCTAGCATAAGGAAAAAGTCAGAGATGTGGACAAAGATTTGATTACAGTGATGCTCACCATGGTTTTGTTTATAGATAACAAAACTCAGGAAATAACCTTAATGTTCAACAATAGGGGATTTAAAAAAAATGTAGCCATTAAACTTACGTTTTTAAAAATAGTGACATGAGAAAATACTCAGAATATAAAATTAGGTTAAAAAATAGAAAGCACAAATCTCAAGAGAATTTATGCTGAGAGAAAAAAGCCAATCTCCACTTATGACTTGATAACTCCATTTATACAACTTCCTCAAAATGATAAACTTATAAAGATGGAGAACTGGTTGGTGATTTCCAGAGGCTAAGTATGCTGGGGAGAAGAAGGATGGGTGTGTTTAATAAGGGACAGCACAAGGGAAATCTTTGTGGTGACGGAACAGTTCTGTACCGTGATTGCAGTGTGAATCTACATTTCTTTCAATATAAAGTTTTTAAAAAAGCTTTCAAAAAAAAGCAAATTCAAAATTTTATGTGTATACAATACTTGACTCCTTGGAGCCTTGGTTCCTTCATCTGGATATACTGAAAACGCCTACCTCTAAGGTTGTTATGAGGATTAAAATATTGAATGAAAATCATTTAGCAGGGTGCTCAACATATAATAAATAGCAAATGTTAACTTATACATTCTTTAGACTTTTCTGAATTTTCTAATTCTATATTGGTAATTTTCTAATTCTATATAGAATTCTATATAGAATTTTCTAATTCTATATAGAATTTTCTAATTCTATATAGAATTTTCTAATTCTATATAAGGAGAAAAAATAACAATAAAAGTTATTATAAAAAATAAAGACTGGGGCCAGCAGAGTGGCGCGATGGTTAAGAACTGACTTGGGATGCCAGAGGGCCCTGGTTCAGATCCCACATATGAGGGCCAGTGACACTGCCCTCTACAGCTAAGATGCTGAACAACAGCTCGACCTGGACGACTGCGTAGGCTGCAGCCCCTGCTGCTATGGGTTGCCATGGGCTACAGTGTGTAGCCAACAGCCAGCGTAAGCGGGCAGCAGCCACTGTGAGCGGCCGTCCAGAAGCCGGCGACTGATCTGCCTCACCCGGGAAGAGCGCAATGATGGTGCCAACTTGGGCCAGTGAAGCAACGTCCTCCACAACTAAAGAACAAAAGGATAGCAACTTGTCTGCTCCCCTTCCCCCAATTCCCCAATAAAAATCTTAAAAATAATAATAATAATAAAAATAAAGACTGGAATAGAGTTACCAAATAACCCAGCAATTCCACTTCTAGGTTTATACCCAAGAAAACATGTTCATACAAAAACTTGTACACGACTGTCTATAACAGCATTATTCCCAATAATCAAAAAGTAGAAACAACCCAAATGTCCATTAACTGATGAAAGGAAGGAGAAAATGTGCTCTGTCTATATAATGGAATATTATTCTGTCATAAAAAGGAATACAGTACTACAACATGGATGAACCTTAAAAATATTATCTCAAAAAGCCACATACTGTATGATTCCACTTATGTTAAATGTCCAGTATAGGTAAAACCTCAGAGACAGAAAATAGATTAGTGGTTACCAGGGCCTGGGGAAAGGATGGAGTGGCTGCTAATGGGTGCAGGGTTGGGGTGATGAAAATGTTCTGGAATTAGATAATGGTGATGGCTGCACAAGCTTATAAATATACTAAAATCACTGAAGTGTACACTTTAAAAGGGGTGAATTTTATGGTATGTGAATTATATCTCAATTAAAAAAAACAACACTGTTGTGGGCTGGCCGAGTGGCTCAGTTAGTTAAGAGTTAGCTTAAGAGCGTGAGCTCTGAGCAACAGGGCTGCTGGTTCTATTCCCACATGGGCCAGTGACGCTGCACCTGAGCTGAGCTGCTGCTGAGCTGCCAACAGGTGGCAGGATGGCTCAGCTTGTGAGAGCACGTCCTTCTAACGAGACTGCCTGTTCGATGGTGGGTTATGCCCACCTGCAACTAAGACTGAACTCGGCACCTTAAGCTGAGCTGTCACCCAGATGGCTCAGTGGATAGAGCATGTGCTCTTAACAACAAAGCTGCCGGTTCGACTCCTGCATGGGATGGTGGCTACGTCCACCCGCAACTAAGATTGTAACACAGCACCATGAGTTTAGAGGCCACAAGCTGCCGATGGGCAGCCAGATGGCGACTGGCGCCCTCCACAACTAAGATTGAAGAACAACAACTTGGCTGGTCCCCTTCCCCAATTCCCCAACACTGTTCCCCTTCCCTAATCCCCCAATTAAAAACAAAACAAAACAAAACAAAAAAAACTCTGCCACCCTAAATCCTTATAGATAGGTAGGTTTTAGACATTAGATCTTCTCAGGATATTAAGAATTTTTCCTATTATATGATTCCTTCATTATATGACCCTCTAGCCCTCTAGAAGTGGGCTTCCTCCCTCAGGCTACTATGATGGCCCAGTAAGCTGGCAGAATAGAGGGGGATGCGTGGCCCATCATGAGTGGTTAGATGGTAGCTCAGAGCAACTGAGGTCTACTCCTGTCCCTTTATAGGCCATGTTCAGAAACCCAGCACCAGCCAAGGCTCATAACTAGGGTGGATGTGGCCCCTCCCACTGCCAGCCAGCCACCTACCTGCTCATTCTTATGCTGAGTCATGTGGGACTTGAGCTGGAAGTAAGTGCTGAACTTGCTGGGGCAGAACTGGCACAGGTAGGAGCTATCGATGAGGACCACCTGCTTGGCTTCCAGCTTGTCCGTTTCATCCTCGCCTGTTGTGGGCAAGGCCTGGGGCTGTTGGGCACCCGACAGGGTCTGGCTCAACCCTGTGGAGAAAGCCAGGGGTGGAGGGGGGCAGAATTACTGAGAAGGACAGAGGAAGAGTTAGGACAGAGTGCCACACCATTCAGAAAGGATTCATGGAGCGCCTCCTGCGTGCTCCACTGCATTTGTCCTACCACCTATCACGTGCTTGGTATTGGAGGCTGTCCTCAAGGCACTGCACTCACATTTAGCAGGTGTGCACTGATACCACCATCCAGGTGCTAAAATACCGGAATACTTACATTCCGATTGAGGAGTAGCGACCACCTCAAGTCTCCCCTTCCTGGCCTTCCCCTCAGACACTCTAGATCTCTCCATGGCCGTTAAAACTCCTGAACACCACCCCTAGCTGTATTCATCGTGTCTCCCCAGCTCCTTGCTCTAATTACATTTATTTGCCCTTCCCTCCCACACTGAGGACAGGGGTCTCCATAAATGTTTGCTAAATGGTTGAATTCTTGGTGCTAGGCATTGTAGGAGTTTCAAAAGAAATAGAAGAAATAGTTTCTTCTCCAAGGAATTCTCAAGAACTCAGAGGGCACACAAAGAATGACTACACATGGGCCGGCTGAGTGGCTCAGTTGGTTAAGAGCTCGCTCAAGAGTTTGAGCTCTGAGCAACAGCGGTTCGAGTCCAGCCCAAGCTGAGCAGCCGCTGAGCTGCCAACAGGTAGCAGGATGGCTCAGCTAAAAAAAAAAAAAAGAATGACTACACACACAGTAGGGCTAGTTCCAACAGGGAGGTCATATAAAAGTGGCCATATGTTGTTTGCACAGGAAAACACCCCCTTCATCAGCCGGCACAAGGCAGACATTGCTCACCCATGGGGTTGCACAGAAAGGCCCAGGCCTCACACTGTGCAATACAGTGACCACAAACCACATGTGGCAACTGAGAACGTGAAATGTGACTGGTCCAAATCCAGATGTGCTACAAATGTAAATACACCCTGGATTTCAGAAACTTAACATAAAAAAAAGAATGTAAAAGATCTCATTAATAATTTCTTTGTATTACATGTTAAAATGATAATATTAATATATTGGGTTAAATAAAATATATAACATTAATTTCACCTTCTTTTTACTATTTTTATGTAGCTATTAGAAAATTTTAAATTGTATTTGTTAGACAGCACTGCTCCAGGCCTAGAAGTCCCCAACACCCAAGCAGGAGAGGAATTAAATCAACATCAGGGACAGGGTCATTAGCTCAGGGACAAGTGATGGCTCAGATGACAATCCTAAAAACCAGAAAGGACTCTGGAGACTATCTGCCCACAGAGGTCACATAGGTTTCAATTTCTGACCAACTGAGAGAGAGACTGCCTAGAGCAATATATTAAAAATAGATTCTCGGCCTTTTGAGCATTTTGAGCCTTGCCTCTGTTCAGGGCCGACTCCAAAATCTTTGGAGTATACTTCCTTTCCTAATAATGGCCCTTGAGCCATTCTCTACTTTTTTTTCCCACTGCTGCTTCTTTGAAATGTATTCTTTTCTCCTAATAAATTCCTTTTTTGCAACTTTACCTCTCTGGTCCATGTCTCCATTCTTCGGTTCCACAAGACCACGATCCCAGCACACACACAATCACACATCACAAAATCCTGCATCAAAAGGGATTTTTGTGGGGGGCTGGCCAAGTGGCTCAGTTGGCTTAAGAGCGCGAGCTCTGAGCAACAGGGCTGCCAGTTCGATTCCCATATGGGCCAGTGACACTGTGCCTGAGCTGAGCTGCCGCTGAGCTGCCAACAGGTGGCAGGATGACTCAGTTGGTGTAACAAGATTGCCCGTTTGATGGAGGGCTATGCCCACCCGCAACTAAGACTGAACTCGGCACCTTGAGCTAAGCTGCCACCCGGATAGCTCAGTGGATAGAGTGGGTGCTCTTAACAACAAGGCTGCCGGGTTCAACTCCCGCATGGGATGGTGGCTACACCCACCTGCAACTAAGATTGAACACAGCACCTTGAGCTTAGAGGCCACGAGCTGCTGATGGGCAGCCAGATGGCGACTGGCGCCCTCCACAACTAAGATTGAAGAACAACAACTTGGCTGGTCCCCTTCCCCAATTCCCCAACACTGTTCCCTTCCCCCAATTCCCCAATAAAATCTTTAAAAAAAACAAAAAACAAAAATGATTCTCAGGCAGGATTCAGGCACAGCAAAAAAGATAGGTGATTGATTAGTGATGTCTGTTATGGGTACAGTATTCCAGTAATGCCACACATATTGTATCTTGGTCTTCCCTCCTTTCATCCCATACCCCATTTTATAGATAAAGTAGACTGAAGCCCAAAGAGGTTGAGAAGGTTGCCCAAGTTCACGGCTAGCAACAAAACCCGTGAAGCTGCCCAGGAAAGGTATGGGGAGAGTGGTGTTCCCTACTTTCGCTCACCTGTGCTTTCCTCGTCTTCCTGCCTGCTGGGGTTCAGGGCCATGACCTGTACAGTCACAGAGTTGCGAGAGACAGTGCTACCACTGCGTCCTGGAGGCCACACCTTGTGGGTCTGCATGTGCTTCTTGACATTCGACTTCTGGGCAAAGGCACGGCCACATGCAATGCACTGGAAGGGCTTCTCACCAGTGTGGCTGTGGGAAGCAAGGCGTGTCAGCACCCTAGTATGGGAATGGAGATGTGGTCTCAGCCCAGGAGCTAACAGCCACCAGGAAGGCCTAGACAAAGCCTCTAGATGCTGCTGGCCACCATTCGGGCACCATGAGGACAAGCCCTCTTACTGAAGCAGGCAGACCAGAGACAGAAAGACCCTGTGCTCTTGGTGACATTACTGAGCTGCTGAATCAACCAGCCCCAGGGCTGACCTTCTCTATGGCTATCTCATACTATAAGATGAAACATTTCCTAATTGTTTAAGCCCATGTAAATAGGGATTTCTGTTACTGGAATGAGGATATACCCCAGCTGTCACTGCACAGCACTTATACCCTCATTTAACAGTTCCTTCCAGATTAATTTAGTATTTTAAAACTAAAAATATTTTAAAATGAAGCTTCCTATTGTCATTGTATATGGATAACCATTTGTCGTAAATACAAAGTAACCAAAAAATGCAATAATTTATTAAACAATATTATTAAGATCTAAAGCTGCACTGTCCAATAAGGTGGACAGAAGCCACATGGACTATTTAAATGTATTAAAATAAAATAAAGGAAAAATTCAGTTTCTCAATCACACTAGCCACATTTCAAGCATTCGGTAGCTATGTATCATTAGTGGCTACCCTACTGGACAGCACCACATGGGGCATTTCCATCTTTGCAGAAAGTTCTATTGGACAGCACCAGATCGGTGGTTCTCAGCTGAGGTTGATTTTGTCCTCCAGGAGACATTTGGCAATGTTTAGAGACATTTTTGGTTGTCACAGCTGAGGTATGAGGGGTGCTATTGGCATTTAATGGTTAGAGGTCAGGGATGCTGCTAAACATTCTACCAAGCAAAGGTCAGCCTCCCACAGAAAATAATGATGTGATCTAAAACGTTGATAGTGCTAAGATGGGAACCCTGGTCTAGAGAAAAGTCGCTGCCTGCCATGGTTTGAATCTGAGGTCTCCCTCTCTCTCTCTCTCTCTCTCTCTCTCTCTCTCTCTCTCTCTCTCTCTCTCTCTCTCTCTCTCTCTCTCTCTCTCTCTCTCTCTCTCACACACACACACACACAAGATGAGCAAGCATATGAGAATGTGTGAGGCATTAAGACATACTAGCACCAAATTTAGGCTTTCTCCTTTGATTCTCCAAGGATTGAAAGAAATTGAAAAGAGAATAATTTTCTCACTACGTCTTTCAGAACTCTTCAACACCAGATCCACGAACCCCCTAAAATCATCTCATGTACCAATGTACCCCACTCTGTGAGAATCACTGAACAAGTCTACCCTTCCACTTCTCAGAGAAAATCCTGAGGCTCAGAGGGGCTCCCTGCATGTTCTTGGGACAAGAGGTATCGTGGTTGGTCCTGAGTGAGCAGAGAGCTCATAGAGTCGTATTTGCAGAGCATAGCAGCCCTTGAGGTCAGCCCCTTCTGCAGAGGTGAGGACTGAGGCACCCCTCATGTCTGCAAAGCCCCTATCAGTTCAAGTACATTTCTCTACTTGGACCTTACCCATCATAGCGGGCAGGCCCCACGGCTTTCTCAGATCCCGCCCACTGCTCCTAAAAGAGAAAAGGGGCAACCATTCTGACCTGGACTGACAGTCTGAGAACCATGAGGAAAGATGGGCTTTGGTCACCACCCTAAGGGGCTGAGAAGGGAACCTTGCTTCCACTGGGGAGGGCCCCCCAGCCAGGGCTGCCTAGGAGCCACCTGCCCCACCATGCCTGGGTACCTTCGGATGTGCTGCTGCAGGTCGAAGTTTTTGGTGAATGACTTATCACAGTATGAGCACTTGAGTTTCTGAGCCTTTGGCTTCCCTGCAGCTGAAAGACAAAGTAAGAGGAAGGAGATGGTGAGGCTGGGGGACACAACTGTGGGCGCCAAGGGCAGCCCCCAGCCACTCAAACCCCTGGACCTGAGACCAGAAATCCCAGACCATGAGAGGTCCATACCCATGGACAGGCAGGAGAAGAGGCACAGGTGAGCCTCTCACAGTGCCTGGGGATGGAAAAGCTCAGGGCATGCTCTGGCTAGGAGACCAGGACAAACCCCTCAAAGGCTCCCCTCTGCCCTAGGATAAAATCTAACCTCTCTGCTGTGGCCCACAGGGCTCTGCATCCTCTGCTTCCTGCCAACCTCATCATTCTCTTCATCTAGCTAGCTACAGTGGACGCCTTGCTAACCTTGAAAGACATCAAACATGGTTCCACCTCAGGACCTTTGCACCTGCTGTTCCCCTTACCGGATATGCCAGTCCCTCAGATAGCCACAGGCTGCTTCCTCCTCATCCCCAGATGGATAGGTAACATCATTTTCCAGCCTCTCCCCGGTAGTCCCAATCATAGGACCCTGTTAATCTCCTTCCATGAGTAACCCATAAATATTTATTTATTCCTTGCTTGTCTCTCCCATTAAACTGCGATAACTGAGGGTAGGGAAATCCTGGACCAAGATGCTGGATCCCCAGTGACACCAAGCCTGGCACACAGTTGCTCAATAACATACTTGTGGAAGAAAGGCAGCATGGAAGTAGTTGACTGGAAAACCCCTGAAAAATTCTCGATTTCTCTGCCCTCCCCATACCCCACCACTTTCTGACATTACCCCCAACCCCATACTTAGCATCTCCAAAGTAGTGGCAGACACTGCTGCTTGCCTGCCTAATACCCATTCCCCTACTTATTTCCTCACGAGTGTCCCACATAAAGAGAACATCAATGTTCCTGGCTAAAAGAGACATTTCCCAGCTTCCCTTGCTGCTAGATATAGTCATGTGACTAAGTTTTGACCAATGAGATGTAAGTAAAAGCATCATGCAGAACTGCTAGAAGCTGAGAGACTCCCTTTTTATCTTTCTTAATGCCTGGAATATGAAACTGATGACTGGAGCTCCAGCAGCCATTTTACACAATGAGGCACCATGATAACAGAAGCCATGAGCTAGGGATGGCAGAGCAGAAAGACAGAAGAGATGTGGGTGCCTGGTGACCATATAGGCACATGATCTCCAGATTGCCTGCCTCTGGCCTTGTTTTGCACAGGAGAAAAACAAAATTCTGTCATTTTGAAGTCACTCCTATTTTGGATTTTCCACTATATGTACCAACACTTAATCCTGTCCACCATAAAAGGGAAGACTAGAGCTAAGCAGCCTGTGGACAGGCCAATGCTTAGGAAAGATGCCCATGCCAGGCTGTGGGCTGACCTTCTGGGAGTCCACTGGCACCTTTGGCCCGTCGAGTCTTCAGCGTTGGTGGGGAGTCAAAGGTGCCCACTGTGCCCCCAGTGGCGCTGGTCATGGAGTCAGCAGGGTTTGGTCCTTTTGGTTTGAATCCCTGTTTTCCGGGGCTGTACACCGGGGGGGTGGGGTATACTGGAGCCTCCACACACTGGTTTGGCACCTAGAAGGACAGCAGAGTCAGGGAGAAAACCTGGGGATGGAGGGGAAGAGCCACCCCAGCCAGGGGGACGCTCACTGCAGGCCTGGTGATCTCAGCCACTCCCCATCTACAGCGCCATTCTAACTCCTCCATGTAAGTTAGTCACCCAGTCACTCCCAAGACCCCTTAGAGCTTCATGAAGCCAGCAGGTTAGAAGCAGCTTTGGAGCCAGGCTGCCTGGGTTCAAATCCTGACTCTGACACTTATCACCTAAGAGATCTGGACAAGTCTTTTAACTTCTCTTAGTTTCCACATCTGTAAAATGGGGCTAACCACAGTATTCCTCTCATTGGGTTGTTATGAGGAATGAACAAGCTAACAAGAGCTTAGAACAATGTCTAGCACATAGCTAGTACTCAACAAACATTAACTGTTACTATTGTCATTATTGTTGTTATTAGTAGTTTGCTTCCACAGGAGAACCAGAAAGTCAGAAGGATCTGTGCCCTCACCAGCTACTCAACTTAACTGACCTGCCTGACACCACACCAGCAGCCGCCCCTCAACTGAGAATTGACACAGAAGCCATAAGAAATTATCAGATGAATTCTGAGCCACTCAAACTCAGTTAAGAGTAAACTTACATCATGGCACTGAGGCGTTGTGAAGAATTCATTTATTCATTGACCTATTTATCATTCATTAGTCTTTCTGGGCTAGCTTATCCAAAATTTCACTTCTTATCCTTCTCTGCTTTATTTTTCTCCTTAAACTTATCATTATATAATAAGTTGTGTATTTTATTTACGAATCTTGTCTATTATCTGCCTAGTTCCATGAAGGCAGGGACTCTTGTTCTGCCTTTGTTTACTGCTCTGTACCCAGGACTAGAGCAATGCTTGGCACAGAGTGGTAACTCAATAAATATTTGTTGATGAATTCATTTACACATTTATTGGGCATCTGATATGGCACCAGTAGGTGCTTCTGCCAGATCTTGTCTGTTGGCCTTTGGCACCATTCCCACACCCTTCCATGCTCTCCCTTGAAATGCAGGGGTAGGAAACTTGGAGCCACATTCCCAGACTCCCTTGCCTGCATGGTTCTGCCAGCAAGAAGCATCCGCATGAGATGTAGAAGGCAGAAGGGAGGTAAAAGCCATACTCCAGCAGCTGTGGTGGGAGACAGGTGGGTTTACAGTCATGAGTTTTGGAGTGGCTGGTTGAACTCGACATTCCTCTCCTGAGAACCAGCCCCAAGGACGGCAGGGCAGCTGGAACAACAGCAACAGGATCCTACAGTTTCCTCACCTCTGGGTGCAGAAGCGGTGTCCTGGGTCTCTGGGCCAAGTGACAACAGTGAATCTAAAACCCAGTGGTGCCTGCCAACCCTGACTTTTGTTCCTCTAGCCCAGGGGTTGGCAAACTGTGGCTCATGAGCTACATGCGGCTCTTTGGTTACATTCCGTCTCAAAAGTTTGCCAACCCCTGGAAGAGCCAATCCTGTCCCTCACAACCATTTAAAAATTATTCGAGAGCCATAAATATATTTTTACATAGTCACCATTATGTGAATAATATCCTTTAAAAAATGTTTTTTAATTGGAGAATTGGGGAAGTGGAACAGCCAAATTGTTGTCCTTCAATCTTAGTTGTGGAAGGCACAGCTAGCTTAGCTCCAAGTCCAGTCGCCATCCAGCTGCCCGTTGGAAAGCTCAGGGCAGCTCAGCTCAAGGTGTCATGTTCAATCTTAGTTGCGGGTGGGCACAGCCCACCATCCCATGCAGGAGTCGAACCAGCAACCTTGTTGTTAGGAGCAGCTGCTCTCACCAGCTGAGCCATCCTGCTAACTGTTCACAGCTCAGCTCGGGCACAGCTCAATGGCCCATGTGGGAATCGAACTGGCAACCCTGTTGCTCAGAGCTCACACTCTTAACCAACTGAGCCACTAAGCCGGCCCCCCCTTTTAAAATTTTATAAATGAAACTATGATAGTTTTATTTTCATGTTCAATTTTACTTCAGAGCCAGTTTGCGAGCCGCAGTTTGCTAACGCTGGCAGCTCTTCCATCTCAAAATGTTTGCCGACCTCTGTTTTAGCCCTTCCATCAGCTTTGTAAGCATCTAACTTCCTATATTAAATCCCTCTGCCCAGAAATACCTAGAGTGGTTTCCATGTTCCTGACTGATACAGCACTCCGTAAATAGTTGTCACATGAATGAATTTACCCATCATTCAAGTCGTCACTGAGCAATTATGTGACTGCCCCTGGGTTAGCTCAGACTATCCTCAACAGCTCTCAAAGGGGAGTTCCCATTTTAGAGGAGAGGAACTGAGGTCAGAGGGCACTATCTCAGGTACCTACTATAGGTGTACTACATACAGGCCAGGTGCTCTGCTAGGAGCTAAGGATGCAAAATGAAAGACTCAGACTCCAACCCCAAAGTGCACCCTCAATCTATTGGGTTGTCGGAAAAGTCATGACGTATTTTTGCAATGAAAAACAGAAAAAATATGTCATAACTTTTCCAACAACCCAATACATGGAAAACAAACAGCAGCAGCTCCCCCTGTGCAGGCCTCTCTGCCTACCAGGCTGCCATCATCCTCTCAGCGGCTTAATTTTTCTTTTTGAATTCAACAAAGCCCTTAAGGGAGCTTGCTTTATTCTCCCAGGCTAGGGCAAATCCCCTTGCAGGCTCTCATAAGATCACGTGGCTGGTGGTGAGATTTTCCCACTAGTCTGGTTCTCCTTACTACAGATGCTACCTGACATGGAATGTCTGTATGGCTGATTCTAGGGTGACTCTGGGATAATGTGACCTCAAGAGCAGGCAGGCTCTTTCTGTTATAACCATGCCCCTCGCACTGGTGTCTGGGAAGACTCTGAACTCCTAGCACCTTGAGTAGACTGCTTGTAGCTCAGGGCGTTTCAGCAGGTTGTTAGCATGTAATATGATGCACTGATTGCATAACAGCCTCAATTCTTCACCTCTCCCATACCTGTGACTTTGCAGCTTTTCCCATCAAGAGATGGAGTCTATTTCCCTACTCCTTAAATCTAAGCTGACCTTGTGACCTGCTTTGACCAACAGAAGTGACACTGAGTCACTTATAAGCCTAAACCTCATGAAGCCTTGAGCATCTGTTTGCAATTATTATTGCACCTCCACCACTGCCGTGAGAACATGTGTGGCTAACCAGCTGGAAAATGAAAGATGCAGGGAGCAGAGCTAGATCACCCCACTTGTCCCACCCTAGGCCATCCTAGAGCAGCCGACAGCCAGCCAACCTCCAGACACATGGGAGAGCCCCGCCAAGATAAGCAGAGTTGTCAAACTGACCACCACAGGTGTGAGAACAATAAACATTTTCTACTATATACCACTGAGGTTTTGTGGATATTTCTCACATAGCCATAGCTAACTGATATACCTAGATTGTTAAAGAAAAAAAAAATCTAAGCAACACATAGATAATTTTTTGAATCCTCTGCCCAAAAGGCAGGTATTGTCTGGCTGTTCTAAGCACTCCCTGAGGGCAGTTTATGTTTCTGTTACAACCTCTACTTCGTATCACCTTCTCATGGTTTGCATTTTACATTTATAACTTGATGGCTCGATTAAAACCCCTCTCTCCCACAATGTGGTACACTCCATGATCTGATTTTGCTCCCCCACACCCTATGGTATCTCCTGCAGTGTCTGACACACAGTTTGGTGCTCAGGAAAAGTCCAGGTTACCCATGATGATCATGACCAGTTTCTCCTCCTCCACCCCAACCCCTGGTCTCTGCTCACCTCCAGGGGTGGGTAGGGCTGCATTCCCAGTGCCTGGATCTCCACCGTTCCACTTCCAGGCAGGGGTGCCGTGGCACTGTACACCTCCACCACGCCATTCCC